TCCCAGCACCAGGAGGGGGAGAGGAGCGAGGCCCTCTCCTCTGGGGCTTGCATGGGGAGCTGAAGCTACTTCCTTAGAAACGCCATAAGCTGCTGCCCAGCGCCAGAGAAGGGGACAGCATCTCCCTGTGCAAACCACAGCTGCAGAGGGTTGTGCTTGATTTACTCCATGCCCATCACATCTCCAGCTGTGAGCTGCAACTGGAGCCAGAGGGACAGACACCCCTCACCATTCACCCTCCAGCTCAGAGCACATTGCCCCTGTGTAAATGAGAGCAGAATCCCGCCTCTGGTGAACACAGGGAAAGCAGTCACTTCCACACACCTCCATACCCTCTGCAATACAGCATTCGAAAGAAAAGCCAGTTTGGGTTGTTTTGGGGTAGGATGTGACCTCCCGGGGCAGAGCTGGTACCTGGTGCTTTGCTCACATCAGCAGTGAACAGCCAGTTTGCCGCTTTTGTTGCTTCAGGACCAACGAGGTAGAATTTCCCAAAGTAAGACATGTTGAAGAGTGCCAGGGCGTTTCTGCACGTTAAGCATTCGGTCTTGATCTGCAGTTAGAGCAAACGCTGCTGCAGCTGAGCCACGTCCTCACTCCACAAAAGGAGACACGCATTAAAACCACTTATGATTGGGAAGCAAGACCAGGCACTTGCCTGGTGCCTTCAAAGGCTGTGCAACTCCAAAACACATCTGGAAAACCAGGTTTCAAAAAAAGCAAGCCTGAGAGGCCATCCTGTATGCAAAAACCCTACTCCTTACCTCACTAACACAGTGGCAGTTCTCTATAACAACAGTTAAATTTTATCACATTGGGTTTTCCCCCCAAGCTAGTTGCAACTTGTTAATCCAGGAAAGCAGCAGTGAAGTTCCCACAGCCTCTCCACTGTGGCTTCCACACGCAGGCCATGCATTTCTCTCCATCTTTTCGGAACATTTTCCCAGTTTTGGGCAAAGCTTGCTGCTTCCCTCCCTCTGAGCCTCACCAACTGCACCTAAGACAGCACTGTGGCAGCTCTAGATGCACCCAGCAGTTTTGGCTGGGGGGGGCTTCCCCCCTGCACTTACAATGTCATGGTGGGGGGGGAAGTCGAAGGTGTACTCATCCCCCAGCAGCCGGTTGTAGGCGTAGTCCCTGTGGCGCTCCTGGCCATATGCACCATAGTAGTCGTAATCCAGGACCTGGGGGAAAGGGAGGATAGGGGCAGCGAGGAAGATGATGTAAGGCTGAAGCCAAAGGGCTGCTCAAATCATATATGCCCAATGCCAGGAGAGGAGCGGGACCGTGCAGGACCTGCCCATGGCGATAGGTCCCCTCCCCGGCATCCCTGCCCACTGCTCTCCTCAATACATAGAAGTGGAATCAGTGCCTGTCCTCTGGGGGCATTGCAGGCAGATGCTGCCTGTTGCGGAGGAACAGGCAGACACACACGCTGTGCACACATGGGTCTCCCTCTCACCGCTATTACACTGAATTAAAGCCCAACAGCTTTTCTGGACCCATTCTAGGGACATGGCACTGCTTGCAGCATATCACACCCCCTGCACACACAGGACGCATCCTACACATGCCAGGAACAGCCGGCACCCTCCGGGTTGAACACAGGCCATGAACACCCTGAATCATGTGCTGTGCTTACCAGGGCTGCTGTGCTTACCGGGGCTGCTGCGCCGGGGCTGAACCAGCCAGGCCTCTCCCAGCCATGCCGCTCCTGGAAAACGCAACCTTGTCGCAGCAGCTCCTACACGAGCGAAGCCAGAGAAATGGGAACAAATGGTTAAAAAAAAGCCTTTTCTCTGCTCTTTGAGCAGCCCAGGCTGCCCTCCCCGAGACCCGAACTGTGACCGCTTGGCTTTGGCTGTCAGCAGCCACAGTCAGCTCTGCAGTTTGCCTTTCAAAACAGTGGCAAACCCAAACTGACGGCAAATTGCCCGTTTCTTTTGTGCCCCAAGAAGGTGTTTGCCTCAACAGGCAGGATCAGGCTCAGCTGTGCACCTCACCAGCGCGCACGGTGCGTGAATTACTGACCGAGATGCTAAATGCAGAGAGCAAGACTCTCCCCGATGTTTACAAGGGTAACTACACAATAACATTTAAGATTTATACATCAACCTTCTCATCCCTCCTCTGTGCTCTCAGGAAAATCTCTCTACATGCAATTAATTAGGGATCCATTAAGATATTTTTGTTTGGTGCCTCTGTTCGGAAAAGAATAGATTTTGTTGAACGTTTCAGAAATGATTCAGTGCCTATTTATAAAACACAGCACATGTTCTGGAGCTGCATGTATAAATACCAGGCTGTCAGTCAAATGGGCATCGCTTATTAGACAGGCTATTATAAAATAAATAGCATCCTCGGTGACAGAAAACAACTGAGCTGTCAAGCAAACACCGGGGGCCGGCAGGAGGGATGTCTGCTTTACTGCTGGGGCCTCTGCTCTCCATCGGGAGGGGAATGGTGTGGTATGAATTGGTGACAAGCAGGAAT